TGAAAAAGGCATGAAAATCTGGTTTAAGTCTTCTTTTTTGAAAAAAAATTTTTATTGATTATGCCATTACATTTGTTCTATTTCCCCCCCTTCATTACCCTCCACCCTACACACCCCTCCCCCACCATTTGGTTTAACAGTCTTATCATAAAGGCCCGGAGAGTTACTTTAAAAACCAGCTGTGCTTGTTTTTGATCACTTCAAAGCCCATGATACACAAAGTGCAAAAGCAATCACAGTGGACTTGAAAAATCAACTTGCTGTGGTATCTGGTGGGCTAACCAGCCAATTGAAATCTCTTGATGTGTCAGTAAACAAACCGTTTAAGGAGTGGATGTCATGGGTCTCGTCACCTGGTAATGATTTAACACCTACAGACAGAATCAAGAAAGAATGCATCACCCAGGTTTGTAATTGTATCCTAAGACTGTGGAACAATGTCAAGGAGGAAGTGGTTGTGAAATAATTTTTAAAAATCTGGCATCATGAAGCCCTGGCTGGTGTACCTCAGTAGATTGAGCGTGGGCCTGCGAACCAGAATATCGGGGTTTGATTCCCAGTCAGGTCATATGCCTGGGTTGCAGGCCAGTTTCCAGCAGGGGACACATGAGAGGCAACCATACATTGATATTTCTCTCCCATTCTCTTTTCCTTCCCCTCTAAACATAAATAAATAAAATCTTTAAAAAAATCTGGCATCAATAATGTTATGGATGGAACTGAGGATGAAGAAATGTACTGGGATGAGGAAAGTGGCTCTTCACAAGACACCTGTAATGTAGAAATTGAAGAAGACAATACTTCTGATAATGACAGTGACAAAGAGTTCTTGGCCTTCTATCATGTGTAAATATAATAAGTTTGTTACCGTACATACAATTTCTTGTACCTTGTATCTGATCTTGTGTTTTGTAATTATTTGTTACATAAAATTTTCTGTACCATGACATGTAAAAAATAAAGGTTAACATTTCTTTGTAATACAAAAAAACAAGTATGTAAATATAAATAAATAAGTAAATAAATTTAAAATTAAAACAAAAGATTTTTTTTTCTTGAAAGTTTGAACCCAAAATGTGGGTGTGCACTGTACACTGCAAAATATAGTAAATGTTTAGGTGCAAAACTAAACTGCAAAATACAGTAAATTCCTCTGGAACCTCAGCTGTTGCCAGTAGGAGTGGGGCTATCCCTTTTTGTGTCTCTGCCCTTCCTACTAGTCTCCATGTGGCTTCTGTACATTCTTGGCTATAAGACTTCTCTTCAGCTAGACTTCAATTGTTTATTCAGAATCTTCTTGTTGGATTGTTCCCTTTATCATTATATAGTATCTGTCTTTGTCTCTCACTCTAGCTTTTGTTTTAAAGTCTACTTTGTCAGATACAAGTATTGCTACCCCAAGTTTTTAAAAATTTCCACTTGCATGAAATATTTTGTTCATCCATTTACTTTTAGCCCGTGTGTATCTTTCCTTCTGAGGTAGGTTTCTTATAGATAGCACATGGGTCTTTTAATCATATCCATTCAGCTACCCTCTGACTTTTGATTGAAGTTTTACACCATTTACATTTAAAGTGATTTTTGATAGGTATGCATTTGTTGCCGTTTTATTCTTTTAATGATGTTCCTCTCCCTCTTCCTCCTGCCTCTCTGCTCCTCATCCTCCTTCTTTTTCTTCTCCTCTTCCTTCTCTAAAAGACACTTTAACATTTCTTTTAACACTGGTTTGGTGGTAACAAACTCCTTCAGCTTTTTCTTCTCTGTGAGGCTCTTTATTTCTCCTTCAATTTTAAATGGTAGCCTTGCTGGGTAAAGCAGTCTTGGTTGTAGGTCTTGCTTTTTATCACTTTTAATATTTTGGACTTCCGCCAAGATGGAGGCGTAGGTGGAAACACCTTGCGTCTGCGCACAACCAAATCTAAAAATAACAAAGTTTTAACAACAATAAACGCAACCAAACCACATAGAAAATCAATAATACAGAGTCCGAAAACAATGAAATGCTCAGCTAAACCAGTAAGAGGAGCAAAGCCAGCAGCGGAGCGGGGTGGCCAAAAAGATCCCCGACTTGGGTGGTGTGCAGGCAGCCGAAGGCATGGATCCCAGGTGCAGGCTAGCTACGGGCGGGACACAGGGAAGAGACGCAGCTGGCTGTCTGTGGTTGGTGGAGCATTTGCGTGCAGATAAACCAGTGAAGAGGTGAGCATTGAGACCGCACAGTGCAGGGCGGCAGGCTCGCACATTTCCACTCAGATAAACAGGTAGGGGTGAGTGGTGGGATGGACTGGGCGAGTGGAGAGGACCGCCATTGTTCCTTCTCTGACCCTGCCCCCACATACAGCATCACAAACTAGCGACCTGGGTGGCCCTGCTCTGGTAAACAACTAAGGCTCCGCTCCTCATATGAATTAGGCACAAACAGATAAAAACATGGCTCAAGAACAACTCAGAGCTCCAGAGCTGATAAATCTAAGTGATGAAGAAATAGTCAAACTTTCAGATGCACAGTTCAAAACACTGCTGATCAGGATCCTCACAGAACTGGTTGATTTTAGTCACAAATTAGAGGAACATATGAAGGTTAAACTAATTGAAATGAATGGTAATGCACAGGAAACCAATAGTAATGGAAAGGAAACTGGGACTCAAATCAAGGGAGTAGACCAGAAGGAGGGAAAAAATGACCAAACAGAAAAGAATGAAGAAACAAGAATTCAGAAAAATGAGGAAAGGCTAAGGAACCTCCAGGACATCTTTAAACATCCCAACATTTGAATTATAGGGGTACCAGAAGGGGAAGAGGAACAGTCACCAGTGGAAACCTTATTTGAACAAATAATAAAGGAGAATTTCCCCAATCTGCCAAAGGAAATAGACTTCCAGGAAATCCAGGAAGCTCAGAGAGTCCCAAAGAACTTGGACCCAAAAAGGAACACACTAAGGCACATCATCATTACATTAGTCAAGATTAAAATGAAGGAGAGAATCCTAGAAGCAGCAAGAGCTAAGGGGACAGTCACCTACAAAGGAGTTCCCATCAGACTATCAGCTGGTTTCTCAAAAGAGACCTTACAGGCAAGAAGGGGCTGGAAAGAAGTATTCCAAGTCATGAAAACCAAAGACCTACAACCAAGATTGCTCTATCCAGCAAAGTTTTCATTTAGAATGGAAGGACAGATAAAGTGCTTCTCAGATAAGACCAAAGTCAAGGAGTTCATCATCACCAAGCCCTTATTATATGAAATGTTAAAGGGACTTATCTAAGAAAAAGAAGTTAAAGAAACATGAACAGTGAAAGGACAGCAAACTCACAGTTATCAACAACCACACCTAAAACAAAAGCAAATTAAGAGGACAGCTAGATTAGGAGTGAACCATAGAAATGAAGATCATGTGGAGGGTTAGCAACAGGGGAGTGGGAGAAGGAGAAGGGGGGAGAAGGTACAGAAAATAAGTAGCATAGACAGTAGATAGAAAATAGATAGGGGGGAGGGTAAGAATAGTAGGAGAAATACAGAATCTAAAGAACTTGAGACGTGTTCATGAGCTAAAGGGGGGGAATGGTGGAGGAGGGGTGTGCAGGATGGAGGGGAATGGGGGGGGAATAGAACAAATGTAATGGCATGGCATAATCAATAATAAATAAATAAATAAATAAATAAATAAATAAATAAATAAATAAATAAATAAAATATTTCATGCCGGTCCCTTCTGGCCTGAAATGTTTCTGTTGAGAAATCAGCTGATAGTCTTATGGGAGCTCCTTAGTATGTACCTGTTTTTCTCTTGTAGTTTTTAACATTCTCTCTTTCTCTTTAATCTTTCCCATTTTAATTATGATGTATCTTAGTATGGGCCTTTATGGGTCTGTCTTGTCTGGGACTCTGTGAGCTTTCCGGATTTGTGTGTCTTTGGTTTTTCACCAGGTTAGGGAAGTTTTTGTTCATTATTTCTTCAAATAGGTTCTTGATCCCTTGTTCTCTCTCTTTCCCTTCTGATGCCCCTGTGGGGCAGATGTTGTTATACTCCACAGTGTCCCAAAAGTCCCTTAAACTATTCTTACCTTTGTGAAATTCTTTTTTTTTTAAAGATTTTATTTATTTATCTTTAGAGGGGAAGGAGAGAGGGAGAGAAACATCAATGTATGGTTGCCTCTAGTGCATCCCCTGCAGGGAACTGACCTGCAGGGAACCTGCCTGCAACCCAAGCATGTGCCCTGACTGGGAATCAAACCGCGAGCCTCTGGTTCACAGGCACGTGCTCAATCCACTGAGCTACACCAGCCAGGACCTTTGTGAAATTCTTTTTTCTTTTTTGCTGCTCTGATTGAGTGGGTTTTTTTTTTTGTCCCTTGTCTTCAAAATCACTGATTAGGCCCACTGCTTCAATCGATCTACTACTTATTCCTTTCAGTGTAGTCTTCATTTTAGATATTGTATTCTTTATTTATGATTTGTCCTTTTTAATGGCTTCTATACCTTTTTTTCCTGTGTTCAGCATCATTATAACCATTACTTTGAACTCTATGTCTGATAAATTGCTTGCCTCCATTTCATTTAGCTCTGTTTATGGAGATTTCTCCTGTTCCTTTATTTGAGGCCTGTAATTTTGGCTGCCTCTTTGTGTTTGTTTCTACAAATTAGATAGATATGCTATGCCTCCCAGTCTTTGTGGGGTTGCCTTATGCAGTAGGTGTCCAGTGGGGTCCACTCTTGCAGTCTTGTTTTATCACCTGAGAGAGGTGCTCCAGAAATGTCCCTTGGGTGGGGTTATGTGGGCCCTCCTGTTGTAACTGACTCTTCATTGCTATTGGTCCATTTGTACATGGGACTGACTCTCAGGTTGGCTGATTCTGAGGCTCAATGCTGACTGACTCTGAGGCTCAATGCTGACCACAGAGTTTGACCTGCTGTACAGGTGCTAACCACGTAAAACAGAATTTGCCTCAGCAGGGTTTGGTGCCTGCAGAGATCTCCTTTTGGATAAGCTGCTTGTGAAGCTTATTGGATCCTGCTCTGATGTCCGAAGCTGGCCTCTAGATCTTTGGTTCTCTGGTTCTGGACCTCTTGGGAGAGATTCTGGTGCAGGCCAATGAAAGAGGCTGATTGTGATGGGCTCTTGGCAGCTTGTTTGGAGCTACAAGTGATGTACAGTTTGTGACTGCATCTGCTGGGCCTGGGGATGTGAAAAATCAAGCTGCATACCAAGGCTGGCTTTTACTAGCACCAGGCTTAGAAGCAAATTCTCAAGGCACCCCCCACGAAATCCACCCTCACTTGCTTCCTCTTGCTGTTTGTACTCAGTAGGGCATAAGCTCCACCGGGTGAGAGGGAGTCCAGGGGGTAGGCTATATACACTGCACTAGGGGAATGCTCCACCCAAGAAAGATGAATGGTGTCTGGGGTATGGAAGAATGACTCAGCAGAGGTATTTTGATAGCTGTCCCTTTAGCTCCATCTCCAGATCCACAGACTCTCCTCCGGGGATTTTAGTATGCTCTGTCTTCCCTCCTTCAGAGCCCAGGGTAAGTGTGAACAAAATTTTGTGCACTGCCCTTTAAGAAGGTGCCTGAATCTCTAGTGGACTCTCTCCTCTTCGTGGTGTACAGAAACCTTGCTGCTTTGCACAGCCAGATGTTATGTGGGAACCTCTTCCTGGCTCTGGGGCTTTAGGCTGGGGAGCCAAGCTTGGGGTTTAGACCCCACACTTCTCAGGGGAGAACCCCTGCAGCTGAGAAATTCCTCTGGAACCTCAGCTGTTGCCAGTAGGAGTGGGGCTATCCCTTTTTGTGTCTCTGCCCTTCTTACTAGTCTCCATGTGGCTTCTGTACATTCTTGGCTATAAGACTCTTCTTCAGCTAGACTTCAGTTGTTTATTCAGAATGATTATTTTGTAATTTAGATGTAATTCCAGTTTCATCCTGGGAGGAAGTGAGTGTACCTGTCACCTACTGTGCCACCATCCTGGATCTCTATGTGTTCCGGTTTTTAATTACAGATTTAATTTCTTCAACAGTAAGTGTAGAACTGTTCACATTATTTTTTTGTGCCAATATTGAATGAGTTTTTAATGGATTTACCTATTTCATCCAGATTTTCAGAAGTTTTGGCCAAAATTTGTTTGTAATATTCTCTTTCAGTTTATGCCTCTAGGGTCTGTAGTAGTATCTCACTTTTCATTGCTGATATTAGTTTTGTAGTTCCTTTCTCTATTTTCTTGATTAGTCATGGTAGGACTTTATCAACTTCGTTCATGTTTTTAAAGAACCAACCTCTATCTTTTGATTTTTTATTGTACTTTTGTTTCCTATCCAATTGATTTCTGGTATTTGAGATGCTTGGTTAGATCTCTAGTTTTTATCCTTTTTTCCCAAAATATGTAATCAGACTGTAAATTTCTCACTAAGCACAATATACCTCATCTCACAAATTTTGATAAGTTGTACTTTCATTTTCAGTCACTTAAAAATACTTTATATCTTCAGTTATGATTTCTTTTTTCACTCATTGGTTATTTAGACATTTCATTGTGCAATTTTCAAGTATGTAGGAGTGTTTTTATTTTTTGTTGTATGTGTCCAGCTTAATTCTAATGGTGAATAATGTGATTCAATTCCTTTAACATTTGTGGCCTAGAATATGGCCAATTTTGACATGTGAATGTGAAAAGAATATAAGTTCTAAAGTTGAGTGCAGTGTTGCACATACAGGGAGGGACAGAAGTATGTTTACAGTTGTTCATATGGAAAATAATATAATTATGAACAAATAATCGTACACAAATAACCTGTGTTTTGTGTACTCACAACTATAAACCTTTTTTTGCCCCACCTTGTGTATGAGTTGGGTCAAGTTTATATAACATGGTTCAATTCTTCTATATCACTACTAAATTTTCATCTGCATGTTCCATTGTGGATTTGTCCATTTTAACATTTAGTACTCTTGGGTGTTGCTTTATATATCTTTAGGTTTGTGTAAACTTAGGGTTATTATATCTTCCTATTGAATTGACCATTTAATAAAATGTCTCTTTTAGTCTCCGTTAATACTTTTCACCCCATTTTACTTTATATTATTTTTTTTAATTTTTATTTAATTATTTTTCAAGTACATTTTTGTCTATTTCTCCCATCCCAGCCACCCCTACCCTGTCTCCTCCCTCTCTCCCGTTCACCCCACCCCAGTCCTCATCCCTGTGTCTTTCATACTTGTTCCACAAAATCCCTCCCCATTTTTCCCCTTAAATTCCCTTCTCTCTCCCCTCTGGTCACTGCCCACTTGTTCTCTATTTCAGTGTCTTTGTTTTTATTCTGTTTGCTTGTTTGTTTTATTGTTTAGCTTCCTGTCAAAGGTAAGATCATATGGTATTTGTCCTTCAGTGCCTGGCCTATTTCACTCAGCATAATGCTTTCCAGTTCCATCCATGTTCTTGCAAAGGGTAGTAGCTCCTTCTTTCTCTCTGCTGCATAGAATTCCATTGTGTATATGTACCACAATGTTTTGATCCATTCGTTTACTGATGGAAACCTAGGTTGCTTCCAACTCTTGGCTATTGTAAATTGTGCTGCTATGAACATTGGGGTGCATAGGTTCTTTGAAAGTGATGTTTTAGGATTCTTGGGGTATAATCCTAACAGTGGAATTGCTGGGTCAAAAGGCAGGTCGATTTTTATTTTTCTGAGAAAATTCCATACTGTTTTCCATAATGGTTGTACCAGTCTGCAATCCCACCAACAGTGAACTAAGGTCCCCTTTTCCCCACAACCTCTCCAACATTTGTTGTTTGTTGCTTTGTTTATGATAGCGATCCTGACTGGTGTAAAGTGGTATCTCATTGTGGTTTTAATTTGCATCTCTCTGATAGTTAACGATATTGAGCATCTCTTCATATGTCTCTGGATATTCTGTATGTCCTCTTTAGAGAAGTGTCTGTTCAAGTCCTTTTCCCATTTTTTAATTGGGTTCGATGTCTTCCTAGACTGGAGTCATGTAAGTTCTTTGTATATTTTGGAGATTAAACCTTTGTCTGAGGTATCATTGGCAAATATGTTTTCCCATACAGTTGGTTGTCTTTTTAATTTAATACTGTTTTCTTTAGCCATGCAGAAGCTTTTTATTTTGATGAGATCCCATTTGTTTATTCTTTCCTTTATATTCCTTGCTCTAGGGGACATACCCGTAAAAATGTTGCTGCGTGGAATATCTGAGATTTTCTTGCCAATGTTCTCCTCTAGGACTTTAATGGTGTCATGGCTTATATTTAAGTCTTTTATCCACCTTGAATTTATTTTGGTGTATGGTGTAAGTTGGTGCTCAAGTTTCATTTTTTTGCACGTAGCTGTCCAGTTCTCCCAACACCATTTGCTGAAGAGGCTATCTTTACTCCATTTTATGTTACTGCCCCCTTTGTCGAATATTAATTGACTGTAGAGAGTTGGGTTTATTTCTGGGCTCTCTGTTCTGTTCCATTGGTCTGTGTGCCTGTTTTTATGCCAGTACCAGGCTTTTTTGATTACAGTGGCTTTGTAATACAGTTTGATATCAGGTATTGTGATCCCTCCTACTTTGTTCTTCTTTCTCAAAACAGCAGCTGCTATTTGGGCTCGTTTATGATTCCATATAAATTTTTGAAGTGTTTGTTCTATGTCTGTGAAATATGCCATTGGTACTTTAATGGGTATTGCATTGAATCTGTATATTGCTTTGGGTAGTGTGGACATTGTGATGATGTTAATTCTTCCAATCCATGAACAAGGTATATGTTTCCATTTGTTTGTGTCTTCCCTGATTTCTTTCTTCAGTGCTGTGTAGTTTTCTGCATACAGGTCTTTTACCTCCTTGATTAGGTTTATTCCCAGATATTTTATTTTTCTTTTTGCTATATTGAATGGGATTTTTTCCTTGATTTCTGCTTCTGCTGATTCATTGTTAGTATACAAAAATGCCTTTGATTTCTGGATATTGACTTTGTATCCTGCTGTTTTGCCAAATTCATTAATTAATTTGAGCAGTTTTTGGGTAGAGTCTATAGGATTTTCCATGTACACTATCATGCCATCTGCAAACAGTGACAGTTTTGTTTCCTCCTTTCCTATTTGGATGCCTTTTATTTCCTTTTCCTGCCTGATCGCTGTGGCCAAAACTTCCAATACTATATTGAATAGAAGTGGTGAAAGTGGACATCCTTGTCTTGTTCCTGATCTTAGTGAAAAAGATTTTAGTTTTTGCCCATTGAGTATGATATTGGCTGTAGGTCTCTCATAAATGGCCTTTATTATATTGAGGAATGTTCCCTCTATTCCCACTTTGCTGAGTGTTTTTATCATAAATGGGTGCTGTACCTTTTCAAAAGCTTTTTCCGCATCTATCGATATGATCATGTGGTTTTTGTCTTTGCTTTTGTTTATGTGATGAATTACATTTACTGTTTTGCGAATGTTGAACCATCCTTGCATCCCTGGGATGAATCCCACTTGGTCATGGTGTATAATCTTTTGGATATATTGTTGGATGCGATTTGCCAATATTTTGTTGAGGATTTTAGCATCTATGTTCATCAGTGATATTGGCCTGAAGTTTTCTTTCTTTGTTGTATCTCTATCTGGTTTTGGAATTAGGATGATGCTGGCTTCATAAAAGGAGTTTGGGAGTTTTCCATCCTTTTGGATTTTTTGGAATAGTCTGTGAAGAATGGGGGTTAGCTCTTCCTTAAATGCTTTGTAGAATTCTCCTGTGAACCCATATGGTCCAGGGCTTTTGTGTGATGGGAGTTTTTTGATTACTGCTTCAATTTCTTTTGCTGTTATTGGTCTATTCAGGTGTTCTACTTCTTTTTCATTGAGTTTTGGGAGATTATATTTTTCTAGAAATGTGTCCATTTCCCCTAGGTTCTCAAATTTCTTGGCATACAGTTCTTCATAGTAATTTCTTACAATCCTTTCTATTTCTGTGGTATCAGTTGTAATCTCTCCTCTTTCATTTCTGATTGTGTTTATTTGTGTCCTCTGTCTTCTTTTCTTGATGAGCCTACTTAAAGGCTTGTCTATTTTGTTTATCTTTTCAAAGAACCAACTCCTGGATTCATTGATCCTTAGAATTGTGCTTTTAGTCTCTATGTCATTTAGTTCTGCTCTGATCTTAGTTATTTCCTTCCTTCTACTTGCTTTGGGCTGT